GACGCTCTCCGTCTCATCGACCACCTCCGCCTTCGCGGCTTCCATCCGGACTCCATCAATCTATCCAGCATCATCCATGGCCTGTGCGCCGTCGGCCGCTCCGACGAGGCTCACCGCCGCCTCCTCTTCTCCTTCACATCCGGTATTGTTCCCGATGATCGCACGGCCAACGTTCTCCTCGCTCGTCTTCTGGACGCCTGCACACCTCGCCTTACCCTCTCCGTTCTCTGTCAACTGCTTCTCGCTAAGCCCGCTTTCGTTCCTTCTCTTACCAATTACAACCGCCTCATCGACCAGTTTTGTTCTCTTTTAGATCCCTTCGAAGCCCATAGTCTCGTTCTTGACATGATTGCTCGTGGCCGCTACCCTAGTACGGTGACATACACTGCCCTTATTGATGGATTTGGTCGGGTTGGTCTTTTGGATGATGCACGGAGGGTGTTTGATGAAATGTTGCAGAGAAAGATTCAGCCAAATTCACTTACTTACAGTGTTTTCATCAGGTGGTTGATGAGAAAGAAGAGAGTGCAGGAAGGAAAGGAGATGATGGAAAGGCTGTGGATAAGAATGCAACAAGAGGACGACGGAGCGGTCCATAGTGCTGCTTTTGCGAATCTGATTGATTCCTTATGTTTGGAAGGGTTTTTCCACGAGGTGTTTAGGATAGCAGAGGAGATGCCACAGAAGAAGTGGGTTTGTGAGGAATTTGCTTATGGGCAAATGGTGGATTCTTTATGCAAGTTTGGGAAGCATCATGGGGCTTCAAGGATTATCTACATAATGAGGAAGAGGGGTTTCATTCCTAGTATGGTTTCATATAACAGTATTGTTCATGGCTTGAGCAACCAAAGGGGTTGCATGAGGGCTTACCAGCTTTTCAGAGAAGGGATTGAATTTGGTTATTCTCCCTCAGAGCCAACTTATAAAGTGCTTGTTGAGGCTCTATGCCAGGAGAAAGATCTCCTCAAGGCTAACAATGTTGCAGAGTTTATGTTAGAGATCAAAGGGGCTGATAAAATTCGAATATACAATATATTTCTGAGTGCACTTCGCCTTGCAGATAATCCAAGTGAACAGCTGAATGTTCTGGTATCAATGCTTCAGAAACAATGCCATCCTGATGTTGTTACACTCAACACTGTCATCCATGGTTTCTGCAAGATTGGTAGGGTTGATGAAGCTATGAAGATATTGGGTGATATGATGGAGGGGAAATTCTGCTCTCCTGATGTTGTGAGCTTCACTACTGCTATTACTGGCCTTATTGATGTTGGTAGGTTTGAAGAAGCATTGCATTTTATGCACAAAGTAATGCCTGAGCACCATTGTACTCCTAATATAGTGACATATAACACAGTTCTCCGTGGATTGTTTAAACTTGGAAAGGTGGAGAAATCAATGGAGATTTTCCATGAAATGGTGGGCAAGGGGTTACAAGCTGATTGTATGACTTATACTGTAATTATTGAAGGACTTTGTCAAGCTGGTCAGCTTGAGCAGGCAAAGAAGTTTTGGGATGAAACAGTTTGGCCTTCGAATGTGCACGATGACTATGTTTATGCTGCGATAATGAGAGGTTTGTGCAAGTTGGGCAAGCTAGACGTGGCTTGTGATTTCTTGTATGAGTTGGTGGACTGTGGGGTTTCTCCAGGGACTGTGAATTATAATATTTTAATTGACAGTGCTTGCAAGCAGGGAATGAAAAAACTGGCTTATCAGATTGTGGGTGAGATGAGGAAGAATGGATTGAAACTGGATTCGGTAACTTGGAGGATTTTAAACAAGCTACATGAGAGGGAAAGCACAATTATTCCTAATACCTATCAAGAAATGAGTGGAACTGGGAAGGAAGGATCTTCAATGTCATTGGGGCTTATAATTGATGAAAAGAAAGAATGCATCAACGAGAATGATGGAGAGCATGGCGAACAATTAGTAGGTCTTGTGGATTATTCCTTAACTTCTAAATTCATTCAAGTTGATGAGATTGATGAAGTTTGCTCATCTCCGGTGGAAACTAGTCTGCATGGCTCTATCAATGAGATTAAGATGATAGGGAAAAGGCAAAAAGAACCATTGTCAAAGCTTGCGAGGAGGGTGTTTGGACTACTATAAATTGATCACTAAGCGAATTGAGAAGTATTAGCTACCAATGTTTTGAAAGCTCTGCTCCTTCAATGCTTTCAATGTAAGATTTATTCATTGACATTTTTGTTTGTCGCTCTTTTGGGGGTTTTGGTGTGTTTGTTTTGTCTGTGCTTCTAGGATTTTAATATTTAATGCGTGTATTTTATAATGTATCATAATACTATGTATAATTAGATTAGAAGAATATTTAAGCTAAAGTTTTTTACAGTAAATGATATTGTGAGTAATCTTTTAGTCATTAACCAATCATTTTGTGTAAATGACAATAATGCTAGGTGGCTGCCTTGTGACACAGTTACCATGCAATATGTTTAGGATATGTTTTTTTAGAAGACTTAAGTTTTTTTCTGAGAAATTAAAATAGAGAGGTTCTGTTCGTCACATGGAATAGAGTTTGCTTATCATCATTGTTTATTTGCTGTGGCTTCACACAAGCTCTGCATATCTAATTTTCTTTTTAGTTATGCTAATACAAATGAAATTCAACTCTTCTGGGACCATAGTATTAAATTGCTGATTTATCACAGGTCCTAAAAGATTAAGGAGAATGCTTCAAGATGGGATCAATCATGAATGTAGCAGTTTGTATTATTCAAAACATGGCAAATTAAACCAAAGAAAAAAAAAAGAAATAAAAATAGCTGGAAATTAGCTAGTGCTGTGGAATCCTTCTATGAACATTCAAACATCATACAGCTATGTTCCTTGTGTTTTTGTGGTCGCGCCTATTGTGGGGCTACAAGAAGGCACACATTGCCTTTGGAGTTTTTGATCCCATTTATCCAAGCACATAACTCTAGGGCTCCTACCCGCTATGATGATGTTTGAGTTTGAAGCCGGTCGCTAATGCCGTGACAGAAAAAACTGGTAAACATTTCCACTTGAAAACTATAATTTTTTAATTCCATCTCTGAAATAAATTATGTACTATTTAACCTAAAAACTATTTTTGTTGTTACATCCATAGCCTCTTTGTTCGTTGGATCTGGATTGCAGTTTAGTGATGGAAAGCTTGAGGAAGCTCTGGTTGCAGGTACTCTGCGCTCTAGTCATTTGAAAATAGAAATAATTAGTTATGCCTCTGTTGTCATCCTTTTTTTCTTGATGTTAAGTTCAAGATTTTTAGAGGTTGACTTTTAACATCTAAAAATAGGATCATTAATAGGTTTCTTGTTTGGATACGGTAGAGATGTTGAGTGAACTAAATGCTTGAACTTTAAAATTTAAGGTGCTTGGTTGATCACTGTTATTTGCTTGCCTCACACTTTATCATTGTTATTTTCGCCCCATCACTCAAGACCCGCATGCGACATCACCATGACCATGATGTTTCTCACAATAAATGGGCAAAAAATATATTTTCTTAGATACAATAACATTTGTAAGTAACTCATAATTTATATTTGTAAGTAAAAATATATTTCCACATATAAAATTAAGATATATCATTTGTGACGCAGGAGTATCTGGACTTGTTCAGTTCAAGGGAAATTGAAGGCATGCCGGCTCTTTACGCTTAGGGATTGCCGTCCAATTGGAGTGGGGCCCACTCCTAGTTATTTAGGACTATATATTTGCTTTAGGGTTTAGTTTTTGTTGTGATATGTTTCGAGACAGTCGTCAATATCTCTTTTCTCTCTACTAATCGTATCCTAGGGTTCTAAGTGGTGTTCCAGGTGGTTTTTATCTTTCTTACACCTTTATCCCAACCTTTCCCGCACGTTCCCACACCCTTTTCCCTATTTTTTTTACAGCTGCCACCCTGGACACACCTCCCACCTCTGTCCTTGCTTCTTGCCACTTTTCCCTTGCTGCCACCACCTCCCAACTTGTTAGTTGATCCCCTTGCTACCTTTCTGGAGGTCCAAACCCATAGTTGGCACCACCTTTACCTTGGATCCTACTATAGTTCGAGTGTGTTGTTGTTTTGTTGCTATTTTACATTTTTTTGTTCTTTTGCTGTAATTTCAGATTTTGAAGTCAGTAATAATATTTTCTTTTTATTTGATGTTTGTTAAATTTTGGTATCATTTTGTATTAGAGCTAACCCAGCCCTAGTTTTATCCTAAAGTCACCTAAACCCACAAAATATAGCAAAATCTTGACCCAAACCTAATTCCCCTCGCTTATTTTCAAAATAAAAAATCCTTTTTTTTTGTTTGTACCCTAAATCAACCCCGTACATCATATTTCACCTCTCAAACTTAAACCCTATCCAAGCCATCAAGGAGACGAGAGTCGAAATTTGATCGGGAACTTACCATGAAAGAGATGCAACGGGAAATCCACTGAGTTCAACAAAGACTTGCTGAAGTTTAGGAAAGGACCCATGGAAAGATCAATGCTAACTGTGATAGTGAGATTCAATGAGGAAAGGGTGGAAAATCTGAATTTCTTCCATAGAGATGATTTCAATGATGAAGATGATATGTGACAACACTTTGGGGTTTAGTATCAAAGGAGGCTGAAGGATTGATTAACTTATATGGAGATATGGGGATGAAAGTAGACCTGCCGGATTTTGAGTAGAAAATGAATCTAGATGATTCTATTGAGTGGTTGCAGACTTTTAAGATGGTTTTCAATTATAAGGATGTGCCAATTAATAGGAGAGTGAGGCTTGCTGCAATAAAACCAAAAAAGAGTACCTTTTTTATGGTGGGAGAATCTGAAGAGAGTGAGGAAGAGCAAAGGTAGGACTAAGATCACTATGTGGAAGAAGATGAAGAAGGAGATGTAGAGGAAGTATCTACCCGACACTACGTCTTGACATGTTCTTGAGGCTACATCACTTATATCAGGAGGAGTTGTTAGTAGAGTAGTTCACAATAGAGTTTAAGCAACTCATGATAAAATGTGAGCTGAGGGAGTCAGAGGAAAACACTATAGCCAGATATTTGAGAAATTTGAAGTCAGCCATCAGTCATGTCGTTTAGCTGCAGTCACATTGATCATTGAGCGATATTCAAACATTGGCCATAAAGGCAGAGAGATGACAGAAGCATATTACGACCTCGTTGTCATTCAGACAATCACTCAGATTCACAACAGGAGAAGCTCGTAGGAGTACAATTAAGGAAGTTTTGAAAACTGTCCAAAAAGATGATGGGGCTTATCAGAGTGGGAAGGAACCCGAGAGCAGCGCACCCAACACGATGGCCGTAAGAAAATATTTCAGATGCCATGGGTACAGACACATCGCATCCAATCGGCCTACTACCGGAGTTGTCTATTTCAATAAGCAAGGAGCTATTGAAGAAGCGGACAATAACACTTGAAACATAAAAGACAACGAAAAGGTATAGGAGTACCGACTTTCAAATGATGAGAGCGAGATGTTTGTGGTTTGACGGGCCCTTCAGACTAAGGCTACAAAAAAAATAATATTGGCTTCACCTTATCTTTTATACTTGTTGCACTGTGAAGGAAAATATATATAGCCTTATCATCGATCAAGGTAGTTTTTAGAATGTGGTGTCTTCACATATGATGGATAAGTTGAATCCCACTACTTAGAGATATTCCCAACCATATTCCCTGACTTGGTTGAAGAAGAGGAATATTGTTAGCATCGATAAGAGATCACTCGTAGAATTTTCTATTGGGGATTGGTTGCATGACAAAGTGTTGTGTGATGGTGTATTCATGGACGTCTGTTACATCCTATTGGGAAGGCCGTGACTGTTTGATCACATGACTTAACATGATCGATTCAAGAACACTTACTCATTTATCAAGTATGGAAAGTTTATAGTTCTCCTACCTTTTGCAGAGTCCAAGGTCATAGGTGCTCTTGCCACGAGGAGACCCCAATGAGATCTAGTTTGATTTTGTTAGAGGGTAGTAAAATAGAAGAGCCGATATCAGGCACATGACTGTCACCACAGAAACAATTTTAGGATATCATGACCGACAATTTATTGTCAGGGCTGTCACTGATAAGGGAGGTTCAGTTTGTCTTCACTTTCTACATGAATGAGTCAACCTTGAGATGCTTTTGGAGGACTCTATGGATTACGCTTGACATGAAGTTTCAGTTCAGTTCAATAATGTACCCACATATGATTGGATAGATAAAGATGACTAACAATTCAGGAAACCTTTTCAGGTGTTTTGTAAGACAGTGCATTCGATAGTGGGATATAGGTGCTTCTAGAGACGCAGTCGAAGGCCCTCCAATCTTGGGAGATCACAACATTCCCGCTATCTGCAACGTGATCGATTGGACTTCATATTATGAGGAGACAGAAGCTTCGACGAATGAAGTTGAAGCTCCCTCAACCCTGGAACACTTATGTGGGGCGTGGAAGTCTGAGTCACCTAGACCAGTTCAGCCCAGGGACAACTGAGGACCAACTAAATCTCTAGGCTTAGGGATTGCCACTCAATTGGTGCGGGGCCCACTCCTAGTAATGTAGGTCCATTAATTTGCTTTTGTTTCTGTTTAAGATTTAGTTTTTGCTGTGATTTATTTCGGGATAGTTGTTGGTGTCTTTTTTCCTTTATGGGTTGTATCCTAGGGTTCCAAGTGGTGCTCTGGCTGTACCTTGGTCTCCATGTGGTGCTTATCCTTCCTTCACCTTTCCTCTAACCTTCCCGCATGTTCACACACCCCTTTTTTGTTTTTTTTTGGCTGCCACCACCCTGGAAGCACCTCCCACCACTGTTCTTACTTCTCGCCGCTTTCCCCTTGTTGGCGCCACCTTCTCCATAACCGACGCCACCTTTTAGCTTGCTAGCCGACCCCCTTACCACCTTCTCGGAGGTCCAAACCCCTAGCCGACTCCATCTCCATCTTAGATCCTACCCAAGTTCGAGTGCGTGTTGTTTTGTTGTCATTTCAGATTTCCTTGTTGTTTTGCTGTACTTGTAGATTTTGAAGACAATAATAATATTCACTTTTTCTTGGATGTATGTTAAATTCCAGTATCAATTTCGATAACATATTCTTATAATTGTATCACATAAATAAAGTTTATTTCACCCATTTTAAAAAATAAGATAATAAAATTAAGTGAAGAAGAAGTACACGAGTAGTTCACATTAATTAGTATGTGAAGATGAACACAAATCTTAATTTTGTTTTTAAATAATGCATTTTTCACATATATCTTTTCTTATCTATGTATAAGATTTGAAATTCCTGGCACAAATTCTTTGCTTTCCTCTGATTAGTGGCTACATTCTACCTTTTATTGAAGTTTTAACTTTATTAAAGATTTGATATATAGAAGCATCATTAAAAAATAAATAAAATTTAGTGCAAATTTAAACCCACTAGATAATCCCAAAATAATATTTGGTTTTGGTTGTAACGAGTTGTTCGTAATTGTGAGATTTCATCTTGTCGCCATTATTGTTGTGATGTATCATTTTCTGATACATCGTTGTTGCTATTTTATACGTTGAGCCATCTTGGTTGCATCTGTCGCTGCCTTGGTTGTACCTATTAAGGCTACATAATAATGATCACTCTATTCATTTTATATTTCTTATAATTAATAGAATGCTAATCGTACTCACGACGCCATCATTAGTGGGAGGCTTTGGTAGGGCTGTAAACGAGCTGAGCTTGAGTGGATTTAGGTTTGGCTCATGTTCAACTCGTTCTAAATTGGCTCGTGAACTGTGCTTTCACATTCTGCTTGATTTGCATATTATTGCTCGTGTTCGAATTGAAATTGACAATAAAATTAATTAGAAAAAATAGACGTTGGGTTTTAGATTCATACTTGCATCAATTTTGTGGAAGGCGTCGAATCATATGATCACAAGAGTTGTTATGAGTTAAACTTAAATATAAATATATATATATTATATTATTATATAAATAATATATATAGTATATTACTATATAAGTAATACATAATTTCTTTATTTCAAGCTAAAAGGAGACAAATATGATTGAAAAAAAGGTTTGTTTGTGCTCTGCTCATTTATAATTTGAGCTTAAAAATTTGTTCGTGATTGGCTCGTTTACTTGACAAACAATTTGAACACGGGCTACGTGATGAATCAAACACGAGTTATTTGAGAACAGCAAATTTTTGACAGCCATAAGATTTGTTTTTTTTTCTATGTTTTTCATTAATATTCTTACAGTTCAAAATTAATACACAACATAATTTGAAAGGAGATCGCCAAATATGCTTAATTGGGAATCAGGGGTGGTTGGGAGAATTAAATAATTATTGCGTGCTTGGTGCGATGGTGACATGGCTGGAGTCGGTCGCGAGAGAGGGCGTCGGTGTAAACAAGAACTAGCTTAAAATAATAGAATTAGTTATTCCGTTATTAGTGGTATTTTCCTATTGGCCATTGGTTTTTCTGCTCTGTTTTCCTATTAACTTATCCACTCTCTATATATACAGAGGAGTGGCTGTAATTTTAATGATATACTCTTATTTTTGAGGATTGAATAGATCTCTGTTTTCTGTTTGTTGAGAATCAAGAACAGGTTTCACATGGTATCAGAGCATTTCTCCTGAGAGATTTATCAAGGTTTTTTCCTCATCTTCTTGCAAGCCTCTTTCCTCCTCTTCCTTCAGATTCCTGCGTGAGCTTGTAAAGATTATCATCAAATTCAGTTTCTTCTTCTTTTTCGGCCTTCAAACAACATGGATTGGTCTTCTCAAACCAGTTTTCCAACCCAAATGCTCAGCAATCATCCTATCTCTCCCTTTCTGAAATTTCTACCCAGAAATATCAAATCCATGGCATCAACTCAGCTCACAGATTTGGAGTGCGCAAGTGGTGAAACTCTTTCAAGCCAACGGTTTTGAATCATTCCTAAATGTAGATGCAGTTTGTCCTTCACAATGCCATCAGTAATCAAGATTATATTCTTTGGAAGTAGACTGATGAAAATCTCTCTTCAGCCTTGTAGACAACTATTTCACACAGCATTCTGTGCTACATCTTGATGCTACGGCAGACATGAAAAACTCTGCTAAGAAGGCTGCAGTCCTCAAATCGATCGCTTGTGATACAACTCAAGACTGAGTTGCATCATATCTCCATGGGGAGTCACTCGATGACTCAATATCTCACTTAGATTAAGAAGGTTGTGGATCAAATTACTGCAGCTGGATCTAAAGTTGACACTGAAGGCATTATCTTTTATGCACTTAATGGCATACTATCCACTTATAACTCTTTTTAGATTGCTATCTGAACCAGCCTTTTATCGATTCAATTGGATGATCTATATTCACTTCTATGTAGCGAGAAGTGAATGTTTAAGCAGAATTAGCAAAAGAGCAATCAACGGCCCAACTTGCATTGATCTTCAGTAAAACCTATACAAATCAATCCAATCAAAGGTTCAAAGGAAGACGGCCCTTCAAGAAATTCAAAAGAAATGATTCAATTAGCTCAAATCAGAACAATGAAACTACAAACAGGCCTCACAATCAATGTCAGATATGTGATAAATACGGGCATTCAGCCAAAAATGTGTTCGAATCGCACAAACTTAGACTGCAATCCTACAACTGCCAGAAACAATTCTTCAAAAGCCTTCATAGCAACCGATGACAACAACTCAAATGACTGGATTTTGGAAGGTGGAGCTTCTTCTCACATGACTAATCATTTTACCAATGTTCAAAATTCTCAAACCTATACTGGTAATGAGCAGATTACTGTTGGAAATGCTGAGAAAATTCCTATAACTTATACAGGTAAAGGAATTCTTCCTACTCCAAAGTGTAAGCTTTAACTTTCTCGTTTGTTACATACACCCAATTCAGCATTCAATTTACTATCGGTACAAAAGTTGGCTAAAGATAATGATTGCATAATATCATTTCATTCAGCCGGTTATTAGATTCAGGATAAGAAAACTCATCTAATCATCCTTGAGGGAAGAAGCACCAATGGTCTCTACAAAGTGCAACAAGTTACAGCACTACCGACCATCCTTCAATTATCCATATGGCATCATCAAAGGCTCGGGCATCCCATGAAGCTGCTATTAGAAGCGTCTCTAGTACCAAAAAGTAACTCAACATTTACACTTCTAGTGTAAAATGTAATTCATGCTTTGCTTCTAAAAGTCATAAAATGCCTTTTACTAGGACTACTACTCCATCCACATCACTTTTTCAATTGATTCATAGTGATGTTTGGGGACTTTCTCCAGTGTTATCAAATGCAAGTCAAAGATAATATATCATTTTCATAGGTGACTATACCAAATTTACTTGGTTGTTTACTATGTTACACAAAAAACGAGTCACTGGTTAAATTCATATATTTTCAGAAAATGTTGAAAAATCAATTTCAAACAAATATTAAGATATTTCGACCTGACAATGGAGGAGAGTGCCTATCTTCTAATTTCAAAACCCATCTTTTCAACCCTGATGTACAACAAAAATTGAGCTGTCCAAATTCTCCTCAATAAAATGGTATTGCTGAAAAGGAAACATGGACACATAGCTGAAACTATGCACACTTTACTTTTGGAAGCAAAATTACCACACAACTCCTGGATAGATGCAGCCTTAACAGCAGTTTACCTTGTAAATAGACTGCCATCCAGAAACACTTAATCCTACTTGCACATTTTTTATTAATCGCCTCGTAGTCCGGTCAACTATGGCCCTTGTTGGCTCGGCTCTTATGATTTCGCATGGTCGGTCAAATGGGCCTCACCTCCTGCTTGCACATTTTTTATTAATCGCCTCGTAGTCCGGTCGACTATGGCCCTTGTTGGCTCGGCTCTTATGATTTCACATGGTCGGTCAAATGAGCCTCACCTCCTGTCATTGGGGCCAGCTTTTATTGTTCTTTTCTCTTCTGAACTGTTAGATTTCTTTAAAATCAGTGCTGACACATTTTTCATGTACACATTTACTCGAAAACTCTTATGTTTTTCTTATTGTGATTGATATATGCCGAGTTTTTAACAAGTCTTCTTCATTCATATTGCTTTCATACGCAGAAATATGTTTCTACTTCCCTTTTTTTGAGTTGTATTCACTGATTTTAATTATTTGTGTTTTTAAATCTTCTTGCCATAAGCATACTTAAGCAGTTTATATATATAGAACTATATAATTATATAATTTATATAATTTTTTATTATTGGTTCGGTTTTAATTTTCATTTAATTGTTCAAACCAAAAAACAAAAAATTCAAAGCGAAGGGCAGATTTCATGCAATCTAATTGATATGATGCATATAAGATATGTAATTCTTGATATTTGTTCATAATCTAAATCTAATTAACAGCTAAATTATGATTTTTTTCTAGTTGATCATTTAAACCGAATTAAAGATCTGTTCGATTCGATTTTATCAAAACTTGGATTGATTCAGTTTTTCAAATTTCTGATTTTAGTTGTAATCTGTTCTGACCTACCAAATGCTCCCACCTACCTACAAATTTAATTTACCTCAACAGCCATTCTACCAGAGTTAGCAAAGGTTCAAACATGGGCACACCTCCTGGGCAGAAAAGCTTAGAGAGAGAGAGAGAGAGAGGTTGCATTGCATCTGCTTGTAAAATAAGAAGATTTACATACATACCATGCAATTCCTATGTATTTACATTTCTAACCCCTGAACTTCAATTTTTACATGCATGCAACCTTACCCATGGCATCAAAAGCTGCATTTCACCTTTTATGGTGGTATTTTCCATGTGATATGAAATATTTGGTCTTCATTAATGTAAAGAAGTAAAATTTTAGGTGTTAGATATGTAAATGCATAAAAAAATGGGTGGTATGTACGTAAATGCCCTTATTTAGTATTGTTGGTTGTTCTGTACTTGAAATTTTCCATTTGCCTCTTTCTCCTCTTTACTTCCCAGTGTCAACATGATCCTTTTAAGAGAAGTCTGAAGTAAATTGTCTTCTCCGGAGCCCTTGATTTTAGCAGGCCATGGAAAAATCACACATTTTAGCTGTTAACACACTATCTCTTTAGCATGTCATTGAAAAATTACACATTTTAGTCATCAAAAACATTATCCGAACAACGCCAAGACGGAGATTGGGAAGTTTGAAGTCTTCAAATCAAGCTTATCGCCTGGGAGGACAACTAAGTAGCAGACCTACTATCCAAGTGCATTCGTTCGGGGAAGGGGTGCCTCAAAGGCTTATTCGACAGACCATTCTAGAATCAGAAGAGATGCAGCTTGAGACGAAAGGGCCAACTGGTTGGGTGGCCCCCTGAGTCTGGGAAGAACTCGGCTGTTCATTACCATGCACTCCATTCTTTGTCTATCTCTCTCTCTCCTCACTTGCGCTCTATTCATTGGAGCGATTCACGAGCAAATTAGGATGCAACTCTTATCATATAAAATGAAGGGACATAAATAGATAATTGGTTAAAGTCCCATTGAAAATATGGGTTGATTCTTTGATGTCATTATTTAATTTATTTATTTATGGAAGATTTACATTTATACCCTTAATTCCTATATATTTTTTACATATGTTGTCTTATCTATATATGAAATTTTTTCTTTTTCAAGTTAAAATAGTGATGTTTTTGATGTGATAATCAAAGATTTGAGTGGTATGAATGTAAAAAAAACAAAGTTTAGGCGATAGATATGTAAATACATAGGAAATGTTTGGGATATTTGTAAATGGCCCATTAAAAATATTAACTAATTTATCTATATGCTTGCTAGGTTGCCAATATGGCAGTAAATTAATCTAAGGGATTGATCCATGCACGAACTTTGAAGATAGCCAGCTTAGGGCTGAAAATTTAGCTACAAGATTGTGAATTTCTCGAAAATTGGTTTGAATTTTCGATCTTTCGGATCGAAGTAAACGAGCTGAGTTATGAGCAAAACCATGGATTGAATTTTTTTCAAGTTAATTTTGAGCCATACACGAATCGGCTTAAACTTACACGAGAATAGCTTGAAGGTGTTATTTATTCATTTATTTTAAGAAAATTGTATATATAATAGAATGTTAAATAAAATTTTAGAATGAGTTGGATTTTTTTTTTCAGACTTTTTGGTAATTTATTTATATCGATTCATTTTAAGTTGGCTCAATCGAAATGAGTTAGCTTGTTTTGATTTTTGAGCTAGAACGAATCCAAATAGTCTAGCTTGAGCCTACTCGTTTCAATTTCGAGCCGGATAGAGCTTGAATTTTTAGACAAGTTGGCTCAAAATAGAACGCGAGCTATTCTCAGCTCAGCTTGAAGTTGGATTGTTCAGAGCTCTAAGCAAGTTTTATCATCATTATGGAAGCAAAATAACATGTGCATATAAAACTAATTTCATTTGAATTGACTTCTCATGATTTCTAATATATAAGAATTTTCTTATTAGTTCATCCCTAATACTTCGCAATGCTTCTTAAATTAGAATATAATGGGTCATTTACATACATGCCACCAAATACCTATGTATTTACATTTCCAACATCTAAACTTCAATTTTTTACATCTATACCACCAAATCTTTCACATCTGATGAAAAACATCCCATTTTTAAAAAGTGAAATATATGATATGTATATAAAAATTGAACGTTTATGTTAGATCCGTAAATACATAAAAAATTGAGTGGTATGCATGTAAATCTTTATATTTTTATTATCCTGCAAAATGATATTTTATTTTTGTAGTTCCGTTATAAGCTCAATAAAACTTTTTTTTTTAATTAAAAAATTATTAGCTCAATCACAAAACTAATTACTTTGCTTAGTATGATTCATTTGATTAAGTAAACAAGCCGAACATGAACAAGTTTTTAAAGCTCGAATTCTAAACGAGCCCAATACGAACATCTTGTTCGCTCGTGTTCGGCTCGTTTTAGCTCAAATATATATATATATATAGTTAAATTCTTATTTTCTTCCGGATCAAGTTTTTGGTACTGTTGCAAAGTAAGGAAATATAAGTGAAAAATATAATTAAAGACATTGTTATACTGTTGCATTTAAACAGTAATGAGATCAGTGACCTTCATCAATCTTTCTTAACATAAGCTAAATAAAAAAAAATCTACTCTTTGAATAAGGTTATCAGATTGCTGGCGTTTATGATGACAAGACCACATTTAAGCAGACTCTATGTAATCTTTTTTTACCACCGATACAACACCAACCCTTTCATGGATATATTAGTTTCATATTTTGAATTTAAGACTAAATATACTCATCTGCCTAAACATTCTTATTTGCAAAACTTAACTTAGTTCTGTGCTTCTCTTTTATAGACTTAATAATGTATCACCTAAACTTCATTTTTAACATTAAACCACACAAGCATTACATATATACATTTAAATTTCAAAGTTTAAATATTCACAGTAAAAACATTAAATTTCACATAATAACCACATTAATTCTATGCATTACAGCTCTAACACTAAATTTAAATTTTACATAAAACGAAAACTTAAAAATCATAAATCTCATGAGGGGAGACTCAAAAAAGAAAAAATATTTACCTAAACCTCAAAGAGAATTTATCGGAGTCGCAAGCTGGCTGATGGAAATCGCGTTGGAGTCGCTCAAAGTCATCAGAGAGCAAGGTGGAGAGGAAGACATGCAAGAGTCCCCAAAATCGTCAGAGTTAGGAGTTTGAAAGACAGTTGGGGAGTGAAGAGGCCCTATCATGTAAATATGGAGTATTAGGGCATTTGTGTCTGATTTTGCATCGAAAATTCTAACGCTATTATGTAACTTAATAGCATCAAAAAATCTGACACAAAATTGAAGCTAATCCTAACACAAATTCATTGCGTCTAATTTTTTTGTGATTAGTAACGCTTGATAATAAACATATGAAAATTTGACTCAATGTTTGTGTTGAAATAAAATCTGATGCAAATTCTACCACCAATTAACATATTTTCTATAATGAAAGGTTATGAATTAGGTGAAAATTATCCAAAATCAACTAAGTCATTTACTTGGTGCTTTGTTGGTAAGATGTGGCATGTAGGCGCTATGCTCTCAATTTTGCCTTCTAAAGAAATTCATATTGAGACATGGGCTTGGGAGCTGAGGTTGGCACTTGGGTTCATATGATATGCTATAAAATTTAAATATTAGCACAAAAGTGCTTCATAGGACATGCAGCTAAGCTCCGGGGCACTTAATGTGTATGCCTAGGCATAGGGGTTGGTGTTTAGGTGCTTGATGTGCATGCCTAGGCATAGATACTAGTGTTAGGTAACTCTGAGTCATCATTTTGCACCCCTTAATGGTAGTTCACTTCTAATCCACATAATCTTCTAAATATTTCTTTGGATAATTTCTTACTTTTTTTGCACTTCTTTCCTTGCACTCCTGAAACGTGAAAAATGAAGTATTAGTCTTGGGAAAATGCTCAAATAATATTTAGGTGAACAAATCTTAATGTTTAATGTGTGATTGAAATAAGTATTAGTTATGTCTATCAAACCACCATAATAAAATATTTGCTCATCCTTAAGCAAAATCTTAACTCAAAAAGTAATCAAAGCGATGACACACATGTGAAATCATAGCATCAATTTTAAGTTATTTTGTGATATTTTAATAATTACCTATTAGTTACTAAGTGTGAGAGCATTTTGTTTTGATACAATAGTATATTCTTATAAAATTAGAACTATTATATTTAACAAACTATGATGTAATGTGACTTCAAGTCTACTCAATATTTTTTCTTAATTGCCACCCTGGATGAGGATCGAGTCCAATTTGATGGGTTTTTTATTCCTCTTATCGAGTCATATTTCTAAGCTCTAGGGGATACTTTATCTACCTCTTTCCATTAAGCTTAGTGAATCTCTAATGTGTTGAAGTGGATGTACAACATGTCTCACTTAACCCTACTGTTGTACAATGTGTTGATGTGGATGTACAACAGGCCCCACTTAACCCTAGTGGTGTCAAACATGTTGATGTGGATGATATTCCTAACTTTATTATCATATTTCTATAGATTGCAAATTTGGCGGTGGCTCGCTCTTTGGTGACATCATCAAGATGGTCATTGGGAAGTAGTCTTGTGAAGATGAACAAATATTATTCTCACAAAATAATAGTGCTTCTTGAGATTAGGAAGTTGATAATAAGCCCCTCATGCCTCTTCCACCTAATATCTGACATGATAAGCTCATAGAGAATTTCATAGTTGTCCATCTTATTATTCATAAAGGGTGAGTAAATTCCATTTCAAAAGGCCCCATAATTCATAAAAATTGTTAATGTTGATGTTATCATGGGATGCATGTTTATCCCGAACATAACGCTGGTTTGTTGTGTGCTCTGTGACATTAGTGTAAAATTCCTTCACAATTGTGACGAACAATGATTCTAGTTTCCTTCCAAAGATCCCCTAACCCCTTGAGATCGACATTGCTTGGATTTCAATGCCAAGCTTATGAAATCCTCATTCAGGAAGTGCCATCTGGTTAGAGTATATTTTTCTAAAGCATTTCTATGTATTATGGGAACACAACTTCTTTGGGTCAATCTTTCTAGCCTGGTTGGAAACTGAAACTAATTTTGCTCGCTTTGGCATGATGAAGATCGAGTTGGAGCTATTAGGCAAGAGTTGTAAGAAAAAGGGTGATAAAGAGAATGGCTAGCTTCTCTCCCTATTCAAAGCATCAAATTGTTGTGTGGCATTGCAGTCCATGGTGTCCCTAATGACCAGCGACTTTATATATGCTTAAAAATATAAGATAAATATGGACATAATAAATATTCAATAATTATAAAGTCACACTTATCAATGCAAGTATGCGTACCACTCAAGTAATATAGGGCTCTAATGGAGTCCTAGATATCGATCCCATAGGGAGTGGTTTAGAACTGCGAACTAAGATTTTAGAAAAGCAATACTTTAATCGCAACAACGAAGTTCAATTTGCTTATCTGTCAATTATAGACAATTGAAATAAATATATAATTTTAATAACTAATGATACTAATGAGGGTTTAAATGTGATATTCAATATATAAGAAAACATTCTTCTCCTTGTCAAGAAATTATAGTGAATGAATAAAGTGAATTGGTTCAAATTATATTGTGTCAAATAGGAGCATACATATTCTTTACCCTTTGGTCCAGACATAAAGAACATTGACTAATCCTACGCTTGTTTACTGAATCTGCAGCTAGGCTAGGAGGATATCGACCCTCACTTCGGAGCTCCCACGTTCCCATCGCCTGAGGACTAACATCTACACTTCAGCACCCAAACGATAGGACCGAATTGGGGATTTTAGTATGTCACTCTAAAATCTCCAATTCTACGCCCGATAATATTATTTCCCTATTTATTTTCACCCAACTTCCAAGGACTTTGACCTCCCTGAATCTTGGATGTAATCTTCACTTTAGTTGTAAAACTCAACATATTTTAACAAATCAATTGGCCAGACGCCTAAACTGAAACTCAATAACCCACACTCTACTCCTCCTCCTTAAACCTTAACTTGAAATCCACTAAACCATATCCTCTTTCTCTCCTATTTTTAACCCTAAGTTAAAGCTCCAAAACCAACGCCCTCTCTCCCTTTTCACCTAATACCCAAAAACCTTTAAAAATAAAAAGGAAAAGAAGAGAGAAATCTTCATGTGCCTTAGGTTTACCTTTCATAAAGTATGAGAATCAAGTGATAGCCTTATGTCATGTAAAACTTTACGTAATAGTCTTATGTCTCCAAAAAAATCACTTGTTAGCTCCATGTTTCATGCAAAACTTGATATGTTTTGGTTTATGTTTATAAGCCAAAATGCAAGATGAGTGGTGTATGTCCCCCATGCAAAATCATGTGATAACCTTACGCCTTCCAAATAAAATCATGTGGTAGACGGAGTCTTTTATGCGAGGTCAATCAATCATGTGGTAGTTTTATTCCTCTTGCATGCTACAAAATCTCCATGTGCTTAGGTGTTTGTTTTGTGTTAAGAAGAAATTCATGCATTAGTTCTATGTTTCAACAAATAACAAAAAAAAAAAAAAATCATATGTTCAGCTCAATAATTCAAAAAAAAAAAAAAAACAAAATTCATGTTCAAGTCCTATGTTTCATACAAAACACACACACACACACACACACACACACACACAATCCCAAATTTCACATGTATGGTTCCATGCATCATACAAAATTTTACATGCTTAGTTCTATGATCAGACTGAGACTACGAGAGAGCAGTAGTAGCTTTGTCACAACAGATTCTATATCCGTTGCACTATGAAGGAAAAGTTATGCAGTCTCATCATCGATGGAGATAACACCAAAATTGTGGCATCGATACGGATGATGGACAAATTAAGCCTCACAAATCAGAGGCTTTCTTAGTTATATTTCTTGATGTGGTCCAAGAAGAAGAATAGGTTCAACATTGATAGGAAATGCAACGTGGAGTTTTTTATTTGGAACCAACTACAGGATAAGGTGTTGTGTGACGTGGTGCCCATGGATGCATGACAATTCTATTAGGAAGAGTAGCCATTTGACTGCAGGACTCAACATGATTGGTACACGAACACCCACTCATTCATCAAAGATGGAAAGCTCATCATTCTCTTACCCTCTGCGAAATTTGAGGTTGCAGATACACTTGCCAGCGGAGAAGCGCCAGTTAGATCAATTTTGGTGATGATAGTGGATAACAGAACAGAGGAGCTGATTCCAAACAGAGGGCAGTAACTACAGAGAGCATTTTAGGACATCATGATCGATATCTTATCGTAAGGGTCACTACCATTAGAGGGAGTTCAATCTGTCCTCGTGTCACATAGGGATGAGCCAATCTTGGGCTACCTTTGGAAGACACTACAGAGTTTATGTAACGACTTGCCAGAGGCTTGGAATTAAACAAGATGGAAACAGACGGTCGGACGATGTGAATTAAATTTTCTATATTGATATATTATTTAACAGATGAAAGAGCCACAAATTGAAATAAATTAGAACTTTTTAAAAACCAAAGTAATTTAAGAGAAAAGAAAGAAACAAACCACAATAATACAAGAGAAAAGTAAAAACAAATGTATGTCAGTCAAGTTTTTATAAATCAATAGAAACATTTGTTTTCATTCAAAGAATCTTTCTATATCAATAACATATCAATTACATTCTATATATGTACAACCGTCGCAAAAGTATCATCTAAAAATTGTGTCAATTATGATACATCAATATCAATATCTTTTTCCATATATGTGCATGGGTACCTTAGTGTTCCTCTATCAATACCATCAAGGGGTGACTTCATTGTAGTCATACTAGCACATATAAACAATCAACATAAACATATTGTTCATGTATTCATAACATTCAATTCAACATACTATATAAAGTGTACACCAAATGCATGAGAATAAGTAGCTAGAACATTCATAACGATATGACCAATAAAGAAAAAAATCTCAATCAGAATAAAACATGTGTGAATACTATTAACTGCAAAATAGTTAAGAAGAAATAATTTATTGCTATAGATTAAAAGTATGGGTACTCATTTCGATGACAAATGATTTGTTCTTAAAATTTTCTTAACTTTGATCCTTTAAGAATTTAGGTGGTAGATATGTAATTACATAAGAATTGTTTGCCATGTAAAAGCCCCCTTAATTATTTACATAAAATATTACTATTATGTGGTTTTCTCTTTTATAGTTTAAATTTAAGGTTTTTCGAATCACCAACTGGTAACATTCCTGATGTATGGTTCTCTTGTTATTATTTTTACCATTTTTTTTTTAAATTCAACTGATTATTTTCCACAGGTTTTGAAACTTTCCGCATGCAAATACCTAAGGAACTCGTCTTTGGAAGCTCTCTACAATGAAGGTGCTCTTCCCGTCCTTCGTGAGTTGGATTTGTCTTATTCTTCCATTGGCCAGGCTGCTATTGTTGATCTTCTCGCATACTGTAGAAATTTAGTCAATGTAAATCTGAACGGATGCGTATTTATGCATGAGCTCTCATGGGGTTCGAGTGGATTTCAATCCGACGTCATGATGATTGGTCCCTCGTTATCAAATTCACTTCCTTTGGGACATGGTGACACGTCTCACAGTAATTCGGACCATCGTTTGGAGTTTCTCAACTGTACTGGATGTCCCTATCTTAAGAAAGTCGTAATACCACCAGCAGCTTGTTGCTTCAGGTTAACGAAGTTAAATCTGAACCTATCAACCAATCTGAAAGAAGTTGATCTAGCATGTCCAAACCTCATTAGTCTGAACTTGAGGTTAGGAAGGAAGACCCATCCTTTCCCCTTTTTTTTGTGGAAAGATTTACATATGTACCACCTAATTCTAATGTATTTACATATCTAGCACCCAAACTTCAATTTTTACATTTATAACACCCAACCTATGCATGAAATGTGTTTTTCACCTTATTAAAAGTTAAAATAGTGGTATTTTTTATGTGATATGAAAGATTTGGGTGGTCTAAATATAAAAAGTAAAGTTTGTGTTGGATATGTAAATTTATAGGAATTGGGTGGGGTATTTATGTAAATGCTCCCTTTTTTTCCCGAAGTTCTCTTCCATTCAATAATCTACTTGTCTTCTGCAAAATCTACTGTTGTCTAAGTTTTCTTTCTTTTGCACTATTCAGCAACTGTAGCTCACTCGAGATTTTGAAGCTGGATTGCCCGCGTTTAACCATTCTCCAACTTTGGGTAGGTCTCGGTCCCCTATACTCCTCTGTTTCTGTTGCATTGTAATTATACTGACTTCTTTTTATTTATATTAGTTTTTTTAGTGATTAATATGAAAGCTTAGAAGTACGGGGGTGATTACATGCATAGCATCCAAATATTAGCTATTTACAGATCTAAAATTCTCCTGCCTTCATTTTTCAAATTTTCGCTAAAATTCTATATTTTTTGCATTGAAGTTCCCACCAGTTAGGTTGTGGCGTGCATAAATACTCAAGTACGATACATAATTTTAGTGAAGGTTTAGTGTTATGTCTGTAATTGCACCTAAAAATATTTAGTATGGGGGCCATTAAATTTGTATTATTTTCTTTATATTAACTTTTTTAATGATTAATATGAACCCGTAAAGTACGGGGGCAATTATACACATAACATCCAACATATTATCTATAAACTGATCTAAAATTCTCCATTTTTCAAATTTTCATTTAAATATAGAAACCTACAACTAAACCTCAACCTATGTTTTTTTACTTTTATCTTACTCCCAATAGTTTGATTGTGGCAAGCATAAACATACAAATTCGATAGGTAAGGTTTGGATGTTTAGGTTTGTAATTGCACCCAAAATATTGTGACTTTTACATACATACTACCAAATTCCTATGAATTTAAATATCTAACATCTAAACTTCATTTTTACATCCATACCTCATATCTTACATATCACATAAAAAATACCATGATTTTAACTTTTAAACAGTGAAATATATCTCTTCATGCACAAGTAAGGTGGTATGCATGTAACGATGGAAGTTTAGGTGTAAAGATAATGGAGTGGTATGCATGTAAATCTTCAAAAAATATTAAGTAATTTTGGTAAACTTTCCTCTTCCCCCCTTTTTCCAGGCCTGTAGCATGCTTTCAGAAGCAGCAGTGGAAGCTGCTATATCAGGATGCTGCCGCTTGGAGATACTCAATGTTCACACCTTCACCAAGAGATTGCTCCATCGAATAACTGGAATTTAATAGCTCGCAAAGTTCTTCCCGTGAAAAAAGACGACGTTCGATCCAATTCAATTTTAAATTGACGTTTCTGTCCGAAGCTCCGTTTTATTTTTTATTTTTTAGCTCTTTATTTTGGATGTATATTTCCAGTCTCTAGCAAATCCAGAGCACCATATCAGTATAGTCTGCACCTCTTTCCTTCTTCTAGCTTTTAAGTTGTCCGATTATAATTAGTATATAATATTATATTTTGGTTGTCCGATTATAATTAGTATATAGGCCAGATTCTGATGTTTTGTGTAGTGATGTGTATAGGACTTAACTTTGTACTTATTTCTGTTGTTTAAGTTATATTTTGATTTGTTGCCACTGCTTCTGGTTTTCTTTATTGATGTATGTATATAACTAATGTGATTGGAGGAAAAATTATGTGGAGAGACTCCTCATAAATCTCTTTGATTGGCATTGCAGTGGTTTGTAAATTTGTTAAGAGGCATTTATTCATTAAAATCACCATTTGTCTGATAACAGTTCATGTAAATTTTGTTTTCATTTTTTCTACATGTTTTAGGTCTGTTTGGGCCTGTTGTAATTCTTTGTAAAAATAATTGTAGAGCCAGGACACTTGATACATCAGGTGTCCAATAATATGATCCCACGTGGTAACTTGGGCCCGAACACTGTATGTCAGTGGACCAAAATTGCCACGTGACCCCGTATTATTGGACACTTGATGTAAATTGCAATAATTTCTCATTTGTTAGGGTTATTTTTTATAAACATTATTTTTAGAAAGAATTTGGACGTCAACTTTTCTAAAATCAAAGTAAAGCAATGAAAAAGTTGCTGCAATTTATTTTTTTGGGTTATTATATTTTCATTATGTTATATTTTATTATTTACAATGATCATTAAAGAAGTCTGATTTTGATTTTTAGTTGTTTGACTTTTATTGATGAGAATGTGTAAGCAAGTTGACTATGATGGTGACTGGTTAAGTTTTTTCTTTTTAAAAAAGTATGTTTTAAAGCATCTCAGGAAAAATAACAATCTAAAGCTGCTATTGTTAAAAGTCAATGTAGCAGTGTAAACGACCGAACACGAGCGAGTCCAGTCTCAGCTTCTATTCAGACTCGCTCGTGTTCAGTTCTTTTATATTTTGAGCTCAAAAAGTGTTCGTAACGTTTGTTTAGCGAGTTAAACACGAGCTGTTCACGAACAAAGGTTCGTTTTGACAACCATAATCAAATTGACATAAATAAATTGTATCATTTGAATTTAATTTAATTTTTATTTTAATTTCTCAATTAATATTTTTAATTGATTAAATATTTTTGTAGTTTTGTACTTAATTAAATCTTTTAGAAATATTACTCACCAATGTATATATATATATATATATATATATATATATAATTGATGAATAGTGTTTCGAGCCAATATGAGCTGAACACGAACGAACAAATTTTTGTTCGTGTTCGACTCGTTAACTTAGCAAACAAGCCAAACATGAGCTTCTTAACTAGCCGAACACGAGCTATTTGCAACAACGAGCCATGTTGACAACCCTAATTGTCTTGCATAAATGAAGTTAGCATGTATGTAAGAAAATAAAATTTAGGGGCTAGTTATGTAAATACATAAGAATTGAGTGATATGTACGCAAATATTTCTTAAAATATTTATTTATATTAATACTAACCCATTATCTTTAACATATTCTCCTTATTTCTAGAGAAACACTTTTTCCTAAAAAGGAAAGTGAATTAATGTCTCTAAAGTGAGATCTTAATCAATTAACTAAGAATAAATTAGTACCACCATTATCATAATGATGACTATTGTCTATGAATTAAAATTCAAGTAAAACTAAGGGTCTGTTTGGAGGTAGCTACAGATTTTGAAAGATGATTATAAAATTATGGCGGAAAATATAATTTTTTAGACAATAATTTTCTTACAGTCAGTGTAATTTAATACGTTGGGTTGAAAAAAACAGGTTCCCATCATATAAATTTTTAAGAAGCAACAAGAGAGAAGTTTTTCAAGCAGAACTGCAGTTGATTTGAAATGCAACATACAAACTTTAAGATTGAGATACGCTTAAGCGTTTTCTTTGATTATATATTTATCAGATTTTGGGTGCTAAAAAAAATTATATATGTCTGTTCATATATACATATGTATATATGTGCCGCGTACTCAGACATGTTGGTTGACATCCACAGTATAAGACTTCTAAGATCGGGAGTTTGAATCTCTTTTGACATAATTGGCTTTAAGAAGATGATACTCGTATTATCAAGCATATCAATAAATTCGCTGATGTCAGTGTGACTAAATGTAGGCGAAATGTGAACGGAATATTTCACTTTCACTTTCCCATTCCCACCCTAAGTTATCTTTTACATAAATAGCCTCATTTCCGCTTAGTTAGCTTATTATTATATATTCTCCCTCTTGTTTACCTCTAATGGCTTTGGACTTACCCCACTAACGCTACAGAAGAGCCCGCTTCAAGATTCGTGCAGAAGCTGATATGCGTGCTGCCCTTCTCGGTGGGGCGGCAAAGCCTACAGTTTATTATTATTATTATATAATATCGTTGAATAGTTATATTGGATGATTATGAATGATATAAATATTTTGCTTAAATTTTAATATTAGATTCTTATTTATATATATGATTTAAAATAATTATATGCGATAATTATATTTAGCTAAAAAGAAATTTTATTTATTTAAACTTGTATTATCTTTTCAGTATTTTAAATATAAATTTTAATATTTTATATAAAATATTCATTAGTAGTACTAAATATATAACAAATTTATGAATATTAAAACATGCATTTTAATTATATTTTAAAATTTTAATAAATTTATTTTAATTTACATATAATACATAAAAAATTGAAGATAATTATTTTAAAATTTAGAATTTAAAAAACATAATATTATGATGTTTATTGTCTACATAAAATTAGCAAAAAAAAATAATAGAATATTTAAAAAACATTATCTCCATATATATAATTAATTTAAAAATGGAAATATAAGCTTATAAATATATTTAATCTAAAATTTATTTTAAAATAATAAAAATAATGAAATAAATTATACTTTGTTATGAAATATTTCATGTCATTTTATATATGATATATAACAGAAGGATTTGTTAGGATATTTTAATTTAAACACATAATGAAAGAGGCAATATTCTCTTCACTATAAGAATAAAGTCATGCATATCAATGTATAATAATTATAATCTCTATATTTACATGTTGGCTTATATTTGATGCATAACGAGATATATATATATATATATAATTTTTTTAAAAGGAAATCGATATTTGGCAGAGGCCCAAATATCGATTTCCCATGCGCAATCCGACCCCATGATGAGAGCCCGCATCATGTGCCTAAAATTCGACCCCCCACGCACCACGGTAGGGATCGAACCCTTGCCAGAGGGGACTTACAGTGACCCTGCCTACCAACTGGATAAGGAATACAACACCATATATATATATATATATATATGTAGATATTGTCATAAGAAAGTATGCTTATTTTCTTTATTTTAATGTCAATACAAATGAATAATTACATATTAGACATTCCAACGGATCAGTGTACTCTATACATGTATAAGTATATATTGGAGTTATTTTCTTACATGCATGCATATACTAATGCTTCCATTAATTCGTTAGGTAAATGTGTCTGACTATAATTTGTTCTTTTGTGGTAAAGCTCATTTGATTGTACATAAACATTGTAATGATTGTTGTTGGTCGTAGAAAATACTTTCTCAGATGGTCCACATTAAATCTCTTGGGCATATATAGTTTTGTCAACGCATTAACAACATTACAATTGAATAACCATGAGCTCGTTGATTTGAATATAAGCATGCCGAATTTTGAAATCATTTGGTCTTCCAGTTGATGCATCAAATCCTTTGACTACAGTTTAAGTGTTCGATCTGGACTGATTTGAACTCTAATTGGATTACCTTCAGTGTCACTGGGTTCATCTTGTTGAGACGCTCAATTTGATAATAAATTTATTAAAATTGGGGCTCATGTGATATTGAGTTTGAATTTGGATTACTTGCTCAAAATGCATTGACATTCATGAGTGATGATAAAAATTTATTGATGAGACTCACAACTCAAGCACAATATTAAAGAATTAAGAAGTAAAAAATAACTTCAAAGTCTTCCTCCCCACTGCATAAGAGGAATCGAAATCACATAAATTTTAATCCGCGAAACTAAGCAATAAAGTAAAGAACCGCTAGAGTTTGTTTACTGGTGTCGGGGTGCTGCGTTGCGGGAGTTGCCTTTCAGGTGTTGTGATGTCAACCGCTTAGGTTCTGAAACCTGGGTTGGTCGTTAAGAGGTAGGGGCACTATATTTAGGCTTTGTGGTACTCCCATCTGGGCGCTGGATTGCCATACTCTCAAATTTTGTACGTGTCGGGGGGCGATGACACTGTTTAATACTAGGGCGAAGAAAAAGGTAGAAATGCAAAAGTAGGGGTAGATGAGTAAATATATAAGAATTGGGGGTATATCTGTGAATGCCCCTAAACCTTTTTAGGCAGTGGTAATTATCATTTTTGAACATGATGACCTTTCACGCATGCTGCTAAATCTCCCAACTACAAATTGGGGGTAGAAAATGATTAAAATATTAATTAATATTGACATTGATACATTGCCTCAAACTTTGCACCTAATTTTCAAATTAACACTTTTTATAATTAAAAATAAAGTAAATAAATCTCTGAAATGAGATCTTAATCATTGTTTTTAAAAAGAATAAAGCGCCGTAATCATCATGATTATGGAATGTTAATTATGAATTAAAAATGAGTTTAATAGATCATGTAGAAATTGATTTATTAACTTAAAATGTTAATTTATTAAGTTATAAATTGGTTTTTATAAAGTTTTGGGTTAATATAATCAAATTATTCTCTATTAAATATTTAATTTGTAAGTTTCCAATATTTAATTGGATGTTGTTAGAAGTAAATGGGAATAGTAATATATATAATCCTTACATTATACAACTAAAATTCATGCATGAATTTCATAGAATTTTAAACAATTAACGTTTCATACTCAAATTCAAGATCATTCGGGACCTTTATTCAGACAAGTTTATAGTTAAATTTACTGCTTCGATAAGTCGAGCCCAATGAAGCCAAAATTGGTTCAGTCATAGTTCGATCAAGCCGAGATCAAGCTGTTTAAGCACGATTTGGAGGCTTTGAATAGGTGATTGAATGGTCAAATGGATTATAAATTTGATAAACTTATATTTTAAACGAGCGGCTTGTCGAGTGGAATCCAACA